GAGCATACGTTGAATAGTCTCCATGTCCATGAGCTGAAAAAAAAAGAATGTGGGCAACCACACTGGCTGCCTGTAGTGGCGACCCGCGACCATGGAGATATAAACAGCTTTTTATAAGGTAAAAATAATAAAACAAGGTCTTTGTCTGCAATGATTAGACATGTTTTTATTATTGTCATTAGTGATTATCTCAAGTTCGGCTAAAAGAATTGACAAAATCCTACACACTGTGCCTTTAAGAGCAACTGTCTAATGTGTAGCTGCATGCCTTTAGTAATGTGATAACAAAAAACTAAAATAATTTATTTTTAAGGAAGACCTCTATAAGTTTGAATCCACACCACTGGTATTGTTTTTGTTATGAATGCATACTAAATGTGTTCTGCAGTCAGGACACGGACCTCCAGTCTGCTGAGAGGCTGYGGGCCATAATTCTCCTCATCCACCTCTGCAGCTTCATTTCTCACTTCACTTCTCATCGCCATCACTTCTGTAAAGATCTGTAGGTCAGACAGGAGAAAAGAGCAACAAATGCAGGGAGCTGCTGCTAACGCAGTGTGGATGACCACAAACACAAAGGAGACGTGGTATTTCTCATTCATATACAGATTAAACAAACTTATCATACAGCTAGTCTTCAAATGAAAAACATCCGGACTCACATAACGCTGTTTTACATTCATTTACATTCCCTTCAGTTTTAMCAGTGAAACGCAGTGCATGAACAAAATAACGTCAACAAAATTCAGACGACAAATCGACGGTGAAAATGTTCATTCATTCTTTACAAGCGTGACGATACGTGAAAAACTTATATAACTTATTAGCTTAGCCTGTTAGCGCTGTATTTTCATCGAGTTTGACGTCTTTCAGTTGTAGAAAGTTTAATTATCGGCAGAACTGCTGACAGGCAGTAAAGGGACACGTTTAATACAAACGGAGAGCTCGGTCTAATTATTGTATCTACACAATAAAAGTGAAGATTTGATATAAATACCTGCTTCTTTCCACGGATTGTTGCTGTCTGTCGCCTTAAAACAGCCGCGCGCAAGCTGATCGACAAAAAAGACCAATGGGAATGCGATGACGTCATTACGCACAAGTCGCTCGGTGTCGTATCGTAACAGGAAATGTGACAGTTTCCTTTCAAAATAAAGGAACGATCATTGTTGACTAACTAAATTTCAAACTCGAAAGTAATTTTTTTAATTTATGTTTTGAACATTTCCGCAGAGAACAAAGATATATATTTTTAAAAATTCCTATTTCAATTAAAGTACAAAAATTCCTTGAGGATTGCCTGATGCCTTTTAGGTCCTCTTTACACAAGAC